CAGTGAATACTTTTTTTTTTTTTAATTACCCATGCACAAAGTTAGTGGTCCCATCCACAGGGTCAACAATCCATGTTGGGTTTTCAGTCAAAACACAAGGTTCTCCTGCAGCCACTGACTCCTCACCAATGAAACTGAAACAAACAGGAGCAGTGCTGGTCTATTCTCTTTACTTCACATCCAATATGCTCTACATATGAACTTATACTGAGTGTATAAGATTTAAAGCGCTTCTGACCCTGTGTTAGTATGAAGGACAAAATACCTGTGTTCAGGAAACTTCTCCTTCACTGACGTAATAATAAGTTGCTCCACATTCTGGTCTGTTTTAGTGACCAGGTCGACAGAAGAGCTTTTGCACATGATCTTCAGGTCATTCTGCAAAGCATCCTTTACAATCTGACAATAGAGATAAAAAAGATTTTAGTAAAAATGACCACAAATTACAAAAGCGATTTAAAAAAAAAAAAGAATGATGTTATCTCACCTCTCCTGCTTTCCTGGCCAGTGTCACAGCATGGTCCATGGCATCCTGCCAAAGGTCAGGCATTGTGCCTTTATGTAAGGACCCTCTTTCTGATCAGACATAAAAACATATTACTGTCATCAATTTCAGACTGCAGCTACAGGAAAGCTGTAACAGGTTGCACTTGATAAAAGCGGTGTCTAAAACCTTATTTTATTTGAGGAGGCAGTTTATGTTTCTGATTAATTCCATATTTTTACTACTTTGCTGGCCGTCCCTTAATCCCTGCACACACTCCTTATATAGTGTTCTTCCTATAAATAGGCCTCCAACTGCGTCTCTGACTTTAGAGAACTCCTACCCTAACAAAAACTTACAATGGCAACTACAGTTTCAACCAAAATAGCAGTATAACCTGAATGATATTATTATCTAATAATTATTATATTATCTGTTTCATTTAAGTTCCTTTTTAACTGTGATGGCTAGTAAAAAGTTCTTTGTTGTCATTTCCATCATCTTACTGTCTTGCTGAGGCTAATTTTACAGTTAGCTTTTTTGTATCCTAATTACACACAATTACAAACAAACATTTTGCATAATTTTACATATTTAACATTTTATTACAGATTAAGGTACATTTTAGGGGCACTCCTAATTTTTGTACAGATCAATATAAAGCATTTTTACACAATAGCCTAAATGGTGTACACTTAATTCACTCTGTTTAGACTGTAGTTTGAAAATGAAATGTAATTTATGTAATGTATTTTATAATAAATTTTTGTATTTTAAAACTGAAAATCTATATAGATAAACGGCATTTGAAGATTAATAAATGATCATATGTAATTGTAATATGCTAGGTTTTCATCACCTGAAACATGAAATTGTATGAAGTCTGAACATCCTATTTCATGGAAATGTACTCGAGAGTAATGGGTTTAAAATAAATCAGCTGGCAACAGGAAACCCAGTCATATCTGACGGTACTTAAGCATTTGAAGTAATTTTATAGTCCATGAACTACATGTTTGAGCATACGTGTTCATCGCAAATAATTATATGACTATATGTACAATGATATATATGACAGATGAATTCCAGCTAACGTAATCTTTAGTGAAGATAACGTACAAATCCCTATTCTTTTCATTAATTGACCATTTATAGTAACATAAAAAATGTATGCAAACAAAGCATTATGTTCAATGCACATATATACTGATATTTTAAACGTTCAAATTTGACAAAAAGTAAGAACCCAGAATTCTTACCAATAACCGGCGAAATGAAGTCAAGATGTCAGATTGTTGTGTTTCCGGGTTCTTGGAGGACCAAACGAGATTAACCCTAAAACGTCTGGTTATTTTCAGAAAACAATTAAATATCCCACTGCCCCTTTTTAAATTGATAATACATACTATATAAATGCCAATGTTCTGTTTAGCACCTACAGGCTAATATTATTTTTCTAAAATTATGTTCTTTCAGCATCCCGATGTCAAAATAAAAGTTCATCAATCCGCGGTTTGTTTTTTTTAACAGATTAGTCTTAATAAATAAAACCAAGTAAGAATTTTTAATTTATGAAAGAAACATGAAGGTCTTACTTACTTTTTATTGTTGTATTACTTGTATTGGAATGGATGTCTTCCTAAACTAAAAGAAAAAGGATGAATACAATGTGATCTTGTTGTACCCAACCTTTATTGAAGCACTCAAACAAAACATTTACAGTTGTTTACACATCTGTGAAAAGTCACCCAAAACTCCCTAAAATTGCATTGCCTCAATAACTTCAAATGAGTTAGCCTATACAGCAGGATTTCATGTAAACCTCTGGATAGAAAGCCTTGAGTAAACCGGTTTATATCTGGATTTCATTAAGAAATGCTCCCTTCACACATGGTGTTATTGCTGGTTGTGAGATGTCTGTCCTTTGAAGCACAACCTGTACTAAGGCTGCTATATCCAACCTTTCACATATGGCTTTGAGAAGTTAACACTTTCATAAAATTAATTCAATTTGACTATAAAATGTCAAATCCTAAATAAAAAAAAATCCTTAAAAATCCTAAAAAAAGAAAAAAAAAGTTATTTACTTTGTAAAATTAATACCACTTTAAAAATTCACATTGACTTCAAAAATGTTAGGGGTCCAAAACACCCTCTAGTGTTGTAGAAAACGAAAAACAAACCCTAAAAACTATATTTCAGCCACCTGTATGTGTTATGAAACCATTGTTTTGAAGAGATCTGCAGCATTTCCTAAAGTCTATCACAAAAACAACATCTATTCTGGCAGGCCCCATAAAACCACAGTGTAACAACATTACAATGAAAAAAACATATATATTCCACAGTGAAACCATTCAGGAGCCAGGATTGGGTTTCCTTCAAAAGATCAAGCAAGTTTTCAATTTCTTAACCAACTACTCTGCATCAAGGGTGAAAGCTACATTGTGTTGTAATAAAAACCATGACAACATTAATAGTAAATACAAACAACTTTTGACTTGCTATGATATTAAAGTCATCTTTTTTTCTGAATGTACAACAACAAAATTGTATTGTATTCTTACAGATGTGCCTGCAACAATTGAAAGGGCCAGAATAAATGCACTGTAAAGTCAATACATAGGCAGTGCATGACATTTGTGACCCTGGACCACAAAATCAGTCTTAAGTCGCTGGAGTATATTTGTAGCAATAGCCAAAAATACATTGTATGGGTCAAAATTATTGATTTTTTTTAATGCCAAAAATCATTAGTATATTAAGTAACGATCACGTTCCATGAAGATATTTTGTAAACTTCCTACTGTAAATATATTAAAACTTAATTTTTGATTAGTAATATGCATTGCTAAGAACTTCATTTGGACAACTTTAAAGGCAATTTTCTCAGTATTTGGATTTTTTTGCACCCTCAGATTCCAGATTTTCAAATAGTTAAATTAAAGTTGCTGTCGCACAGTTCATAAAGACAGTCACTTGCTTCATTCCTGAATGATTCAGCCATTCGAACGAATCAACTGAATGAATTATTCAGTGATAAAATCAGTGACTTGCCGCCACCTCTGTAGTACAAATTAATTTATTAATACTAATTTCATATGATTAGTAACTTATTTGTCTTATTCTACATACTGTCTTAAATAGACATTTAAAAAAGATTATAAACATACATTTTTGAATTTAACAGATGAAAATTATGCCATTACAAAGGTAAAAAGAAAATACTCCTGCAAGTCACTTTAAGGAGTTATTAAACGTCTGAAAATGTACCTACAAGCCACTTTTGTGTTCTTCTGTGCCACCTCTGTAGTACAAATTAATTTATTAATACTAATTTCAAATGATTGGTAACTTATTTGTCTTATTCTACATATTGTTTTAAATAGAAATTTTAAAAAGATTATAAACATACATTTAATTTGACATAGATGAAAATTATGCCATTACAAAGGTAAAAAGAAAATACTCCTGCAAGTCACTTTAAGGAGTTAAATGTCACCTCGTATTAGGAAGGATAATTTTTGATCAGAATTTCTGATTATTGATCAGAAGGTGCTCCTACATTTTTAATTACAAGAAGAAAAAAAACAGCTCTTAAACTTGGTGTGTGACAGGTATGGCTGAGAAATGGGGTTCAGTCGAAGAAAAATTTTCAGTCAAAAGATAAAATTAATTTGTACTACAGAGGTGGCACAGAAGAACACAAAAGTGGCTTGTAGCTACATTTTCAGACGTTTAATAAGGCTCAGAGGTGGCATGAGTGCAATTAAATTCATACATTAATGTGGAGATTAATGTTTTAAATATAAAATTTTGAATACAGAAATATGATTCAAATAACTGAAATTATACGCTAAAAATGAAACTGAAACCGCCAGCAGGTGGCGTCAAGTCACTGATTTTATCACTGAATCATTCATTCAATTGATTCGTTCGAATGGTTGAATCATTCAGGAATGAAGCAAGTGACTGTCTTTATGAACGGACGGAAATCCGTCGTAGCGACAGAACTTTAATCCCTGTAGTTGTATCTCAGCCAAATATTGTCCTATCCTAACAAACCATACATCAATGGAAAGCTTATTTATTCAGCTTTCAGATGATGTATAAATCTCAATTTCGAAAAATTGACCCTTATGACTGGTTTTGTGGTCCATGGTCACATTTGACAAATTAATACGCATATACTGATTTGTGATGTCCCACAAAAGCACTAGGTAAGATCTTTACCCTGCTATAAAAACTAAACATTGTGTAAAGTCGGTCACTCCAAATTTATGTGGGCATCCTTCACCAGTTATTACATAAGACACCCATTAAACAACACTGTTTGTCATACCATACTGCACAGCAGCTGGAGTGTCTACCTGAAACAGAGCTTGTTAAATCATGAGCCTATGAAACAGGACTTACTGAAAAAGGCAAAAGTGTAAATAAAAAAAATGGGATGGGGCAACGCTATGCATCGGAGTTTAAAAATGTGAAGAAATGCAAAAACAAGTTCTCTGAGCTCTTAATATATCAGCTACAGTATTGAGGAAAATATCATCAGAGGTACTAATATGTTGACTGTACGCTGGAAAACACATAAAAAAACACCATGAAAACATACTAGTGAGAAAAACGGCTCAAATGATTGTTTCGCAGTTAAACACGAATTTTCAAATAGACACACACATACATGCACGCCCATTCACTCCATACACAGATCACACAGCAATTATCTTGGTTAACCTGCCAGCATAAACTTGTCCTTGATATGCAACATTGGAAATGTAGACTCAATACATATTGGTAGTACAAAACCTAAGGGTAAAAATAGCGAAAGATCAGTGCAGCTTTGCATAGTACCTTCACATTAAAGCAAAACGTCAGATTTGATGAAGAGAGAAACACTGATGAATTCAGTGCCGAGTAGAATGTGAAGATCTCTGAGCTACAAAGCAACATGAAGGTGTTTGTACACACAGGATAGGAAACTACAACCAAACTATCATCCATGATCATTCAAAAAAAGGCTACTTCACATCTATGTTAGAGGATAGGAAAAAAGCTTTGTCTGTAATTACAAAAAAGGGATTCGAAAAGGAAAAAGGGTCAAACCACCAAACAAAAGTTGACAAAACATTCAAATAATTGTGTACTTGTACACAAAGAGACTGCATTATCAATTAACAAACAGGCTTGAATGTCAAAAAAAAGAAAATGAAAGGGAAATAGTAGTGTTCTCTTTTTTTTAACTCCATGGTGGGAATTGGCAGCTGCACGCTTCCAGTGGAATGCCATGTGGTGCTGGTCCTCTCCGTATCTTACATACTGCCTAATGTTTTATGTTTCTGTAAAACACAAAATTATCCCCATTAAAGACACTTAACCAGGTGTATGATGTTTTGTTTTCAGTTGAAGCAGATACTGTATAAGGCAGAGACAGTCCACTCGTACATATGTGAATGCTTGT